TTATTATATATATATATATATATATATATAGTTCTGTATAAGAAAGAAGAAGAAGGAAAAAAAAAGAATAAAAGGGTATTTTCTTGGTAAAGGGGATTTTGAGAGAAAATAAAAAAGAAATTGAAAGTAGTTACTTGGAAATAGGAAAAGAAAGAAATGGAATAAAAGAAGAAAGAATATAAAATTGCATATAGAGCAATATAATATACGGTTTATTTTTACGACAACAATTTTAATAAATTTTAATTTTAAAAATTTCCTATCTATGCTTTCAATATTATTCATTTATTTATAATGCAATGAATATGGAAATACATATAGGAATATTTTTACCTTTTGTTAACTTAATTTACATTAAATTTCTTATTCTATACATTTATAACGTGTGTATTGCGTTACTTTTATTAAAAAAGCTTTCTTAAATAATTTATAGAAACTAGATTAACAATTGATAAATAAACAAAGAGATAACATTTACTATTATACATTTGATATTATACGTTAAAGTTAACAGATGCGAATCAACGAATCAAGTAGCACATTTTTCAACAGTAATCTTTTTACATTACGAAAAGGTAGTTCGCTCGAAAGATGGAACTAAAATTTGAAAGATGGAACTATTCTGAAAAATGTAGAAGTCTTGACAGTTGTGACAGCCATCCAGACTCATATCTCAACTTTATATCATGAAATCGTCAAGGCAAGGTTTCACGGTTTTAAGTCGACGTGCGACGCGTGGATTATTCCGATTCCCGTGACACGAAGAAAGCATGGGAAGAGTTTAGAGCGGTGCGGAATAAAAAAGAGAGAATTCGTCGAGAAGGATGAAAAATAAAATTGCAAAGAATTATCGTACGAACGAAGTGAAACACGAAAGAACGGTAAAAATTGAAATGATGAAAAATGCAAGGGACAAAAAGAATTACAAATTATTACATAGCTTGAATATTTAAAATATCCCTTCTATTACCAGAGAAATACAATGCGAAATATTCCAAGAATAAATTACGTAGCATAAAAAATTTATTCGATGCACTCTCGTCTCAAAATCGAACATATCCTTATTCCAGAATATACAATTTATTCTACTAATAACTTAATCAAAACTTATCCCTCTCCTCTCCTCCAAGAAAAAGAAAAAAAAAAAGGAAAAAAATCGTAACAAATATAACTTTTCTCAAATTAAACATCACTCATCTCCCTTCGATCGCACAAATTTCCCCTTTGATCGACGCAAATGTTTCGCTTCCCCCCTATTCCTCCTGCGAGACACAAAGGCGAGAAGATGGTCCAAAAGTGGCGACGATAAAAATACAGGGTAACAAATCTCTGGACGGCGGTTTTTGAGAGGCGACCGACATAACGAATGAAGAAAATGGTACAATGGGAAAAAAAGGGAGGAGAGAGCGAAATAAAACAGGAGTAAAAGAGCGAGTGGGGAGATAAAAGCGAGCAGAGGGCTCGAGTAAATTACAACGCGTGGAATGGAAAGGAGCGCGCAGGGTGTATCGCGGTCGGCCGAGAAACTTGCTCGTTTTGTCGTGCGCGGAAACGAATGTCCGACGTCATACGAGCCACGGCCGCGTTTATTTTTTTCCCCAACGCTTTTTCCAACGCTTTTTCGATCGATCGATCGATCCGCGCCGCGAGATCGTTTGTCGAATGGGGACCGCATCGCTGTGCCGTTATTTGTGGGCAAAAAGGAAAGCGTCCAACCAACACCGGCCAACACCGGCCAGAAACAGGGTCAACAAGTGTCGTGTGGATACGTATGCGTGGCGAGCGTTCGAAATGTGACGACGCATCGTTCACGATCAAGTCGTACGCGTGACATTTTTCCGGATACGAGCGTGAACGTTTTCCATGGGATGAGCCGGGGTGAGCTGGTTTGCGAGTTCGACGAGGAGGAGGGGTTGCTTGGTTGTTCGCGGTGACTTTCGGGGATTTTGATGAGTTTCGACTTGGGAATCGTTGGGGGTGAAACGTTCGAACTTTGGAATTTTGCAAGAGTTGGACGATATTGTCTCGAATTGACGAATCGAAAGTTTGTAATGATCGAGTAGTTTTTTCTTGGTTCTCCTTCTTTTTTTTTCTTTTATTGGTGATAAATTAACAGATTCGATAATTTTACTTTTCATCTTTGATAACAATAAATGTTTAAAGTGCTATTCGAATTGATTCGGATGTATCTTTCTTTTATATTCTTTAATATGAAAAAGATAACTGCTAAGGATAATTTGATTAAAGAAAAAGTTGAAGAAGTAATTTCGCGAAATATATATCGAAACTCGGTCGACTAGATTTTTTTTTTCTATTTGAATAATGGCCTCGTTCAAACGAGGCTGTATTTCGTAAGAATCACGTTTCTTTCGCCTCTCATTTTCTCTCTGTCTAAAGTTAGGTGAATAGAAGAGGATCCTTATAAAAGTCTGGAGAGGAAGGAAGCTTGGAAAGGTTTTCTGCTTCACTTTTGATCACAGCCAAAGGATGATCCCTGATGACCGATACACCAATGCAATAGGCCATTTACCAAATCTCTTGCTCGTCCAGAGGTTAAAGATTAAGTAACCACTTCGATGGATCACAATGCTGTCCAAGTGCCAAGAATGTCGTATTTGTCCCCCAAAGGTTCAATGTTAGGTTTGTCTAGGCTTTAATCCCATTAGATTTCGATTGTCGAGAAAGAATTTAGCTCTTTTCAATCAATCTATTTATCAAAAAAAAAAAAAAGAACAATTAAAAAAAAGATTGGAAGAAAAAAGGTTTCAAAGTTTTATATTCAGAGTAGAAGAATCGCAAAGAATAACAGGTGCAATTCATTTGCATTGTTCATTAGTTCATTCGTTTATCTCGAATAATATGAATTAATGTGATAAATAAAAAAGGAAACCACTTCAGGAAGGGACACTGTTACTATTAAAACTTATTACTTTTAAAAAAGTATTAAGTTATTTTTATATCGATAAAATCATTCTATGTCGAACAACTTTCGTCCAAAATATTTCTTCGTATCATATTTTCCCGAAATATTAAATCGAACGCACAATATGTTATTCCGATATATTGCTATTACATCAAGCTTCAAATATATCAGACTTATTAATTCCTC